GATGTATGAACTGAGAGGAGGGAAGCGTACCGAACTTTCCAGGTGTTAGGGTTCCACGCCCGGAGTGGCAAAGCCCAGGCGATGTCGTACAAGACGATGGGCTCGGTCGGTGACATGTCGTTGGAAAGTGGGTGGTGGATGATCTACAAGAGAACGAGTAATGGGTATGCGTCTGGAGGCGGCTGGTGAGCTACCCTTTGAACAGGCCTGTTTTATACTGTACTCCATACCTTGTTTATTTTGATTTAGCATGAAAATATCTCACAACACAATGCTCGGTACCTGCCTCGCATCACCACGTACGGATTATCGCAGCCGGAGGACGCTTGAGGAGCAGCAAGGGATCGTCGGCTATTTTGACAGCTTGAGCCAGCTGCATTGACCATGTGACAACTGTTTGAACCAAGATACAAACATGGACCTACCCACTTCCCCACGACACGGTGACGCAGCGATTGCGCTAACTGGACGCACCCCGAATGTCACCTCGTGCCGCGTCCACCGCGAAGTATATCTCGCGGACTTGAACTCAAACCCTAGTAGATTATTCACGAGGACTCCACTTCATTTTAGTCTTGATGCACTACCCTTATTTAATGTTCACTTTGCTGGCCCGTTGGTCGAAAGAAGCCGCATGCTCTCGCGCCGGACGCAGAGATGGAAGCTACCCGAATGCTGGATGTGTTCAACCCCGGATCTGGAATAATCGGGTTGGAATAATCGCTTTCATGGAGGAGATAACGCGGTGCAATTTGGACGACGAACGCGGCCCTTGAATAGATCGTGGATATCTCTCTAGGGGTCACGAGTCGCCGTCTTGCTTGAAACGGAGGCGAAAAATAGACATATCATGGAAGCGCGGACGCGTATTGGGCGACCTTGCGCCACCGTCGATGCTCTGTTCGTGCGAATCCGGTCAACGTCCTGTCAGAGTGAGATGGTGAGCTCACAAATATGTGACGGGTCAATACGCACGTTATGTCTTGCATGTTCATTGGCTTCCGACTGGTTTCCGATGCAGGATGGGTGTATTGGTGGCACCAAGGAGAAGGTTAGCGATCCATCGAGCCAAGAGGAATCTGGCAATCGGTCTCCAGAACACCACCTGAAAGGTCTCCACATAAAAATCCCTACGCACGCATCGCGGTATGTCCCTTATAAGCATTGCAGCAATATGGTTCCGCTCGAATGGAAAGTCAACATGCATTAACGCTTGAAGAGTTAACAAAGGCGGTCCGATTGCGTCTATGATGGGTAATTGGGAAGTTAGCTTGACAAGAAACGAAGCCAAATGCGCGCGTACTTTAGGCTCCTGCCGTTGGAATCTTTCATCCACTGTGATATTCAATCGTCTCACCATGCAAATAGCAGCCATCCAGGATCACTCAGCGCGATGTCAGCAACCCCACATACATACTCATCCTAGTGTAATTCCAAGACGCGTTCGTAAGTAAGGCAGTTCACAGAAGGAAACCTCAGTTCTTATTGCTTGCGTTATCTAGTCGCCGTTTGGGCCCCATGGTAAGAAACGTAGATTGCCGTGTAACACCCACTTACATACGGTAAGTTACATCACCCTGACACAATGCCAGTCGACGCGCATCTGCCAGGGTGCTTGTCTCGTAATCGAGAGGAGGCGTTGTGATCAATGCTCTCCGGACGTGGTGGCGTATCTGTCCTCCAAGTCCTCTTGTCCGCCAAAGCCAGCCTCGTAATCACGATTCTGTCTGGCCGCCTCTGAGTCGCCCCCTGATGCTTTCTGAGATGCCTCACGCAGTTTCTGTAGTTGTTCTTGCTCCTAGAAAGATATCTGGGTTCAGCATTGATTCACGGCCACAGCCTGTCTCATACCTTCGCGTGAGCATAGCGAGCCTCTTCCCCCTGTTCCTTAGCCTTCCAAGTAGGATCCTGCGGACGTTTAACATGCGTTAAGCCACAGAGGATTCAACTTCTTGCGAACTTACTTGTGCTGTGTTTCCTGACATGCTTATACTGGTGGCGGTACAAATACAAGCTACTCACTTGTGGAGCATTCACTGCAGCCACAGAGTCTCCCGCTCGTCCAAATCTGATTGGCCAACTGTTGCATCGAGCGTCATCTGTAGCGCTGGCGTGGGGTTAGGGTTCTACGTCCAAAATAGGATTTTTTGCGGCCGAGCTCGCTCAGGCGTCCGTGTCGTGGCACTAAACCACCAACCATGGCTTCACCACCTCTGGCTTCGGTACCAAAAGACAGCTACTCGCCGCCCCCGGCGCAGTCGAGCTCGCTGCTGTCCGCGTTTGCGCCCGTCACCAACGTCTATAGTCGGTTCGCGTCGTGGCGGAAGGCCCTCGATCTTCCGCAACCTGGCACGATTGAGAACATCCAAAAGGAAGTCAGATGTGCGTCACACGCCTGTTTTGTCTCTCTTTTCATTTCCCTTGTAAATTATCCGAGATTTGAGTGGACGTCGTGCTGATACGCTCGTTGTGCTGTAGCTACGCACCTGACGAACTTCTTCTTCGATGGCGCCCGTGCTGACCTCACGAAGGCCATGTCGATGAGCCCTATGTTCCAAGTGACACACTCGTTTGCGCTTGGCTCACAGACCGCACCGTCGTCGTACAACTTCGGCGCAGTATACGTATCTGACGACGTAAGTCGTATTTGTTGTAATGCTTTGTCGGAATGACTGACCTGAGCTCATTCGTTGGTGTCATTAGGTTCTGCTTCAAGGAGGTGTGGACAACGAGGGTAGCCTGAACGGACGTTTCACGAAGCAATGGTTTGCGGGACATTCGTCAAAAGCTCAGATGCAGGTGCGAGCGGTTGCTACGTCTCGCTTAGCCGTCAGTTCCTTATGACGCGTCCCTACAGCTCACCTCGACACCGGGCCACAGCATGATCCAGATGGAGCATGACATCTCAGGATCTGACTTCTCAGTGAACCTCCGCGCAGTGAACCCTTCGCCAGTCGACGGCACTGGTATATACACAGGTAGCGTCCTGCAGTCTGTGACGAAACATCTAGCACTCGGTGTAGAGGGCATCTGGCAGAAGCCGCATCCCGATCACTCAGAGCTTGGTCTCCAATACTACGCCAAATACGTTGGCGGCCCCGGTCTCAACGTTGACAACGAGCCTTCGGCAACCCCTGGCGCGCCCCCGAGTCAGTACAAGGATGGCACGTGGATCGCGACGGCCAGTGTGCAGCCATCGAGCTCGGTCCAGACCACATACTGGCATAAGCTTAGCGACAAGTTGGAGGTAGCAGCGGACTTGATGGTCATCAATGTTCCTCAGCGACGAGACGCGATTGCTACTCTCGGTGCAAGATGGGATTTGAGGATGTCGGCTTTCAGGGCTCAGGTGGACTCGACGGGTAAGGTGTCGGCTCTGCTTGAGCAGAGGTTTGCGCCCTCGTTTATGTTCTTGGTATCGGGCGAGATTGACCACTTCAAGGTGAGCCTATTCCTACAGCGATATTGGAATATATTGCTAATGGATGTCTCTTCTCTTAGAACTCTGCGAAAGTGGGTGTAGGTGTGATGATCGAGAGCTCGTCTTTGACTCCAGAAGAGATGGGCATGGTCCCTCCTGGCGCGGCACTTTAATCTGTTATTCTACACTATCTACTTAGTACTGCTAGAAGCCATTCACGCTGTGCAACCTGTTGCTGTGCTGTCTGTTGCTGCCTGTGCGCTCCACTCACTTCGCCATGTCCATACTTTATCGTTAACGCTGCATAATGTCAAGTTCTCACGTGATGACGTCAAGCTACATGAGAGCGGCCGAGTCCCTTGGCTGGCCTAAACCGCAACGCCGACTTCACACGACTCGCTGTTTATATAGTGAAGGATCTGCAGCAGTAAGCAGTAAGCAGTAGTGTCTTCCGACATGAATCATGGCTTACCTCAAGGCAGAGTCCCTAGAGTCCGTGATAGTTATGGCCGAGATGCAAGAGCCGATTCTCGAGTTGAAGGATGTCGGATGCTCTAAAGCCCCCGGACAGCCAATATTCGAGCACGTCAACTTCGCCGTGAATAAAGGTGACGTTATCGTACTACAAGGGAAGAGTGGCTCTGGGTGAGTGGAACATTTAAGGAATCGAGTGTGAATATGTTTCTACTACTGGCTTCAGGAAGACGACGCTTCTGAAGTGCCTCGCGCATCTAAACTTGTACGAAGGCGAGATCAAGTATAGGGGAAAGTAAGTACGCATATTCAATGAGACGAGCCTGACCAGTAACATATCCCGTCGGTTTTATAGGACGCCGCAGTCATATGGTACGTGTCCATACCACGGGCCTCCCTTGACGGCACGATGTAAACACCTATCTCTATGCTAGGGATCCCGAAGTACAGGACACACGTCCTTTATGTGCCGCAACGACCTTCCCTCCTTCCGGGCAGTCCCCGTGACTTTCTCAACGTCGTCTCAGGGTTCGGCTCGAGGACCTCACGCTCAGGGCTGTTCCAGAAGAAGAATCATGAAGCAGAGCATGCTATTGAACGTGATTTGAACGCCTGCTTTGATACTGCGAAGGGCTGGGGAATAGACGAGGAACTCTGGGACAGGAATTGGAGTGACCTGAGCGGAGGAGAAACTCAGCGGATCGCGATGGCGATTGCGGTCGGGCTGAGGAACGCTGAGATCCTCTTGCTGGATGGTACGTAGAACAGTTTTGTATTCATCCGCTACTGAGGATCTTCTGACCCTGTACCACAGAACCGACCTCTGCTTTGGACGCAGGATCTTCTGATAAAGTAGAAAAGACGATCCTGGAGGAAGTGAAGAATAAGAACGGATCATTGAAAGCTATCGTGTGGATCACCCACTCCGCAGAGCAGGCCAGCCGCGTTGGCACACGGTTCTTACGGGTCACTGCTGGAGGCATTTATGAAGAGAGCGGGGCTCAGGATGCCTGAGCGCAGTAGGTTATAGGATTCGAAACATTAATGTAGTTTCCTCGTTCATGGTGTCGATACTGGTCGACGGGGGTGAAAATGCTGGTGACGCGGACCCTTAGCTCAATCGGTAGAGCTTTGTACTTATGTGGATAAAGTTATGCAAGGGTCCCGAGTTCGATTCTCGGAGGGTCCACGCTTCTTACTTCTTTTTGCAAGGTAGTTTGTGCAGATGAGGCTTGTAATTATGTATGCTCTAAAAGGAAAGTCTCTACCGGACCCTTAGCTCAGTGGTAGAGCTTTGTACTTATGTGGTTAACTGATTCGCTTGAGCACTTCCAATGCAAAGGTCCCGAGTTCAACCCTCGGAGGGTCCATTTTTGTTGACCGCCAGATGTCCCTGCAAAGCACTCTTTGTCGACGCCCTTATAATACGTACAAACGCATGGATTACAAATGTGTATCGTAGAGAGATAGAATCAATTATGACAGAGAAATAAAACATTGTTTCTTAACATGAAGCCAACAACATTCCTAGAGAACGAACATGAAGTGTACAATACCAAAAACAGACAACAGGAGGCTCAGTCATCAGAAACAACTGTCAGGACGGTGCCCCGGGCTTATTCGTCTGGCCGTTGTTCGTACGGTTTTGCAAAATCGTACCGTTAACACCGGTCAGCCCGTTCAATGGCCCGTGATCATGGGAAGCATCTCCATTTGCAGGAGACAGTACGCCGTTTTTCTGCTCGATCAGGAATGCTTGTATGGTCTCCTGCATTTTGAGCACCGTTCGTAAATGCGCCATGACAGTCCCCGAAAGCTCCGCTGTATGTCCCGACAGGATAGTCTCCACCTCTTGTCGTAGTTTCAACAACATCGGACTGATGTCCTCACGTACCGCGGCAATCAACATCGGTCGTAAAGTATCCACCATAGTCTGTATGTCAGGGAGGATTGGAGGTGGTACTGGGTCTGGTGGTCTTGCTATATATGCTGTCAGTGCTGCGTTCAAGGCTTTGATCTCGGCGTTCTGGGCCCTTAGCATGTCCTCTGTGACCCGCTGCCTCTGTTCCAACTACGAGATGCGATGTGGAGATTAGCACCTTACTCCCGGGAGTTAATATGAGCCAACTCACAAGTGCGACTTCCTGCTTTATGCTTTCGTTTTCCGCTTTGAATCGGGCGGTAGCGTCGTCGACTTCGTTTAGATGCCTGATGATGCCACCCACTTCCTTTGCCATCTCCTCAATATCCTTTCCTGCCAGTTCGAACTCACTCTCCAATGCCCGTAATTTTACTTGCGTCTCTTCAGAAATCTGGCCCGTGTCTATCACCTGTGGATCGGCAGGGCGAGAAAGTTCCAGCGCAGCTAATTTCTCCTCGAGGCGATCGTCCACATTTGCGGAAAGTTCTTGGTCGTATTGTACCATATCGTTCTCCAAGTCAGCGATCTTGGTCTCCATAGCTGAGAGACGATCTGAAAGTGCATCCAAGTCTGCCTGGGAAGCACTCGGTTGTACGTTACTCTCTGCAGGCCTTTGTGGTTCCTCCGAGAGACGACGGCGTTTCGTTGGACGCGGGTCATCTACCACCATCCCATCATTATCTTGATCAGAGTGCACCGGCATCGGAACTTTGGGACTTGGTTTTCTTTCAGCAACTTCAACAGGGGTACCCTGATTCAGCAGCGATGCCGATAACTCCTTCACTTGGTCTCTCAAAGCGAGCACGGTGACGCGAACTTCTCGGAACTTCTCTTCCTGAGTCTCAATATGATCGGCATCCCCTGACAAAGGACGCGGTGGGATGGGCCAGAAGTCAGAATCGATGAGACGATACACGAAGGTGTTGAGCTCCTCTCGTTTTGCCTTTAGACGTGCCTCCGCCTCAGTAATTTGTTTGACCATTCGACCTTTTGTTTCCGTAGAAAGATCAAGTCGTTGGCGCGAGTTGACAAGTCGTCGTAGAGAGGCTATACTACTCTCAATCTTGACATAGTCGACCCTGGCATTCACAGCATCTGCCATTACTCTAGACGCGAGTAAAACCCATTATGTTGTCAGCTGCGCCGTATCTGCTAGCGTGCTTGACACGCACCTTATTCGGCTCACCCAGCCATCCATCTTGTCGTTTCTCACAACATCTGGGATCTTCTTATCTGAGGTCTTCTTGGGGGCTTCCGGCCGTGCCACGGATATGGAGGGAGGGGGCATTGATTCTGTGGAGGTAGGTGCAGCTTTAGATGGAAGAGCCCGTACGGCGACATTTGAGGTAGATCCTCTCCTCTCCTCCTCTCCTTTGCCGTCATACGTGCTCTTCCCTATCTTCACGGATCCCTCTTTATCTTTCTGCATCTTATCTTTTGTTCCCGTGGTTGGTGTTACTCTAGTCATAGAACTGCTGCTCGCGGTTCGCGGACGTTCGGTGATATCGCTAGCGGTGGATGTACGCCGAGGAGGAGAAGGTCTTCGGTCCCGCTTATCTGTCTTAGAGCGAACGGAGTCCGGAGATGTTGGCCTCACACTCGACGCGCTAGACTTCCGCTCCGCCAATGCGCTCGAGGACCCAAAGTGAGAAGTCGAAGTCGAAGACTGCCCAGCTCTGTCCTTGTCTGGTGATGTATAGCTTTGATACTCCCAATCGCGGTCACGATTGCGAGGGTCATAGCCCATAGGAGGATTGCTTGGCGTAGCTGTTTTCCATTCAGGATCGGTGGGGTGGGCGAACATGCAGTTGTCCCGTGGGCAGCCTAGTGCGCCATTCTGTCTTTTGCGGGATGTACCATCGTCGTTATACCACTACAACGCAGTGTATGTCAGTGACGTCCCAATTGACGAACTTATTCCTAAAGACTGGTCATGCACATACACGACATCGCCGTGAGGCCTTTCTGCCTAACATCCTCTCTTGTATACAGCTCCACGAATATCCTCGGTGCAGTGTGTGACTTGCTTTCGTGTGTGGCAAAAAGCCGGTCGCACAATAAGAAAGGAGTATGTATCAAGAACACGAGCATAACATGAGTAACAGGCCACTTCTAAAACGCTGGATGACCAGCGCTTATTACTACATGTAGCCACGGTAGCGGGAGCACTACTGTAGTACGGACTCGGATATGATGCACTGGCCAATGAATAGGAAACACGTCGTAGAAAGGTTGATAGCATGTATACGGCGATAGCTAAATTAAATACATAAGTAGGACAATCACTTAGCTCCACCAGTCGCATTCCATGGCGTACAGATGCAAGCTGCATGGCAATCCAAACGACTACAAGCCTCATAGTCCGGAAAACTCGCTGTCGAATTGCCGTTGTGATATATCACCTTTCTTCACTTTTTTGGCCATGCGCTCCTCCCTCGCTAGTTCGTCCCAGTCATCTCCGCCGCTCTCCTCATCTGGAGTCCTTGGCCGCTTTGCTAGTCCACTCCCGTTGGTGTCAGCTTGCGCTTCTTGCGCTTTCTGCCACTTCTTCTTGCGCTCCTTTTTCTCCTTTCTCCGATCTCTCTCTTCCCTTTTCGAGAGCTTGACGCTCCAAGCCGTGTTAGTCTTCTTCTGCTCGGCCCGCTCACGCTGCATCTGTTTACGTTGCTCGCTATCCACGGCAGCATTCGCAATTTGCTGCTCCAACTGTGTTAGGCGGGACGCTTCCTTGGCTTTGTCCAAGTAGGAGTAGGTCGACCACTTCACAATAGATGAGCACTTTACGACCGTTACGTATGGAAGAAATGGACTCACATCAACCTCAGCGTCTTGCCAGCCATCCCTGGAAACTTCCTTTAATTCAGGCATCCGAGGCAAACGAAGGAGCGCGAAGCTTTTAGCAACACCGATTATGTCGAGATCCTTAATGCGGAAAATATACGACGCTTCGTGCTTGGAATATGCACGAACGAACGACACGAAGGCTTTGATGGCCTGTAACCAATTCTGTTTGGCTCTCCACAGTCGGGGAGTAGCCGATGGGACTCACTTTGTCATGCAACGATCTATCAGTTTGAACAATAGACCTCATGGTGACCAACGCCTGTAAGACCTCGGGATCTTCGGTGCCATCTTCGTCTTTTGTTGTCAAAGGCCCTGCTGCGGCAAAGGCTGGCTGCTCTTTGAGAGGGATTTTACGGACGGACATAAAGTCTGAAAGTACTATTAGCATAGTGTCATAAATTATGGTACGTCGTGAGATACGACTAATCATCCCCCTGTAATTACGCTGGGGGATAGGCAAATGACTCGCTTACCCTCATAATCGACCTCGCGACCTACAAGCAAGGTCCACGCTCTGCCGCTGCGACCAGCACGCGCAGTACGTCCACATCTGTGCGAGAAGGTCTTAGGATCTGATGGCGGGTCGAACTGCAGGACGACGTCCACATCAGGGAGGTCTAGTCCACGAGCCGCAACATCAGTAGCGAGGAGAACGGCAGGTGAAGATGGCGTAGCCGGAGATGAGGAAAACGCCTCTAAGGAGCGTGTGCGTGCTGTAGGAGGAAGGTGCCCATGCAGAGAATGAAGGACAACGTTCTGCGGGAGCAGAGAGGGCAGAACCTGTGCAGATTGTCAAGATACAGTGAGTTGACAACGTCCGCTGATCTGATACCACGCACTCGGTAAAAATAATCCACACAGGCGCATGTAGAGAAGTATACAATAAAGCGTGACGACTGTTGCTGCTGTATCTCATGTCGGATGATGCGCGTGAGCTGGACGAGTTTCTCAGAAGCCCGACAGCTGATAAAGAAATTTTGCAAGCTTGAGTCAAGCCACACTTGTCGGTCAGCGATGCCGCAAACATGAGGAGATCGCGGTGCTCACTTCGCAGGGATGCGGCGCTCTTCGATCACTTCTCGAGTGTTCTGCTTACCGCTATCGAGAGCTGAACTAGCTTGTTTCAGCTTCTTTGCTTGTACTTTAACCACTATCCGTGATGGATTCCGCAGTCCTACTCGAACAAGCTCCGACAAGGCATCGGCATCTGTCATGGTTGCGCTAAAGAGACCCGTCCGTCGCTGTTTGGGGAGGTGTGTTAGAATCCGGCTTAATGCTTGTTCGAAGCCTAAATCCAATAGGCTAGATACATCTTCAGCAAAGTCCTGTCACCGAGGTACCGGGGGTTTGACTGACCGGTCTGCCTCGTCTAATACGAGGACTTCTAGTTCTTTCACACTGACTACATTCTTGCCTTTGCCGAG